CCTATATAACCCCTATATATTATAACCCTGATTTTGGGAAACCCTCAAAGGTCCCTAAACCCTAAACCCTAAACCATAAACCCCAAAGGTCCAAGGCTGCGGCCCGCAGTTGCCACGCAGGCAACTCGGGGCGAAGCTTCTGTCCTGGCCACCTGCAGACTCATCTTGCAGACATCCATCAACACCTTCACCTTCACTTGACTTATAGTCACTTGTCTCAGAGACTACCGACAGCCTGCGCTCCTACACTACATCAGCACCATGGTTGGACCTTTTGGTCTGCAACCTTGCGCATTTGGAAGTTGCCCATGTTGGGGTGGCGCTTAAGCCGAGCCTCTCCGAGGCAGCGCCGGATGGACATTGCGGCTTCGGGCGCTAACTCCTTGACAGACCAGTTTACCATGACAACATCTCTCAACAAGCTCTGCTTGCAGATTGCTTCCGCTGCACCTTTAAGCATGGCACTGCGCATCTCATGCTTGAAAATGGGAATTGGACGAGGAAGGCTTTAACTTTAACTTGCCGCATGCTGACTGAAGCCCAGCTGGGTCCGTGGCCAGGCCCTCAACTAGAATGAGGACTGGCTTCTGGGCGGCAAGTGCTTTGGACATCGCTGTCCTAGGACAAGATCTGGGGGCAGAAAATGCGAAAGTGCTTCGGCGATGCCTGCAGAAGGCTCCAGTGACAGCATCGGCTGCTGTCAGATGCAAGACCTGACGACCGCAAGCAGTATATGACGCGCCATGACGCGCATTGGTACATCTCCAAAACTCGGATGCCTGGCCACCAGCCAGCGCGGCTGCAGCTTCCGCTGCGGCTCTCTTTCCAATTCCCTCCGGGCCGGAGAGCAGGACTGCACTCCGCCTTAGGACTGAGAAGCAGGGCTCTGTCCGCGTGAACAAAGGGATTCAATGCCTCTCCCGGGCTTGGCGATGTACTACGGTCCATGTGCCCATGTAAGCATCTGGCTCAGCGGAGCGCCAGAAGATCCCAACGTCCACCTGAAAAATCCCGTCCATTAGCAGCAAAGTCCATTGGAGGATGCTGGGAGCGCACCAGTTGCAGCGGCAACGTGACAGCCTCCCGCAAGACCGCCTTCTCATCAAGTCTATATGCAAAGGCCATTTTGCAAGTGAGATGCGACATACTGCCAGAGCTGCCTTTGCTTCCTCCAGACCAATGAGATCAGCAAGCTGTGCTTTGGGTCTAGGCTCTCTTACCAGCGGGCTCCTGCAAGGATGTCAGATCTGCTGCAACCTTGCTTCCACCTTGAACATTACAATAAAAAGCAGAGCATGGTCCAGCCGGCATCCAGCGATGTGGAGCACTCTGCCTGCCGTGATGAACCAGGCTGACTAACCAAGCTGCCCAGAGAGCTGTGTGCATCAGACCATGCCTCAGCCCTCACACGCAGCAGAAGCAGCAGATGAATCAATCGCAGCAACATTGGCTGCACTGTTGAAACGAGCACACTCCAACTGGAGCTAGAATCAGCGTTTGTTTAGCGACCTCTGAGGCTGAAATGTTTTTGTGGCTGCTCGGCTCCACTAGGGTAGTTACAAATCATGGCTTCCAAGGATGTTCTCAGCATGTCCATCCTTGCCTGCAATACATTTCGAACGTTTCGGACTCACTTGCAAAACACGGTTTGTGAACTTACGACATGCTTGGCTTGAGATGTATTCCAGCTGCTGTGTCCAAGGGTGCCTTCAATCAGTTGGCATCTAGCATGCACGCACGCTCATGCAACCACGCTGAAGCGAAAGAAAAGCGCAGGAAACGCATTTTTTAAGCCTCAGCTTAGGCTTCTGCAGGCACCTGACAGCCAATGATTGCGGGCAGCAGGCATGCGAGAGACTCTGTGGCTGCCGCCCCTTCCCAGAATCTTCGGTACTTCTCGCTCCTTCGCAGGAGCTCCTGCTGACGCGACAGTACAAAGCTGGGAAAATCACGATGCCACCAGACATGCCTTGTGAGGACCTTGCTCACGGATGACTCCACCCTTGCAAATCACAACACATCAAAAGGGTATGCTGACCATGCTGACCCTACCGAGCAAGTGGTTCTTATCCCACAATGATACCGAGCAAGCGCCTCAAGGAAAGCCACGGAATCGCATCGCTGCACTGTGGATAGCCTGTGCGCCACGACCAAGCAGGTGCGTCCTGCATCTCACAATTTGCAGGTCGGTTGATGACGATTTGGCACAGTTGAGCTTTGGTCCTTTCATGAGCTCATCCATCGCAGCTGTCAGTGCCCGCTCAGTGCGAACATCAAGGGCTGAGGTCGCCTCGTCCAGTAGCACAACAGACCTCAGAGCTAACTGCTTGGATATGTTGCGATGTGCATCACAATCACAGCTTGACATATCTCAGCCAGCAGCGGGTCTGCCAACAAGCACCTGGCAATGCCAATGCGCTGCCGCCTGCAATCGCATCTCCGGTTTCCGTCTACTACCAAATCGAGCTTTGAACACAGAATTTGAGCTGGTTTGAGGCCCACACTCTCCGCCACTCAGCTTCATTCCGCGTTCACCCACTGACGTTTTGTAGCCTGTAGCTCCATGCATGAAAGTCACGTTGTCTTGACAAGGGCAAGGAAAAAGGAGTCAGAGATTTACCTAGCGAACCCAAAAACGAAAGCGGTGAAGAATCACGCAGTGGTCCCCTTGAAACTTGAAAAGGCATGATGAGCAGCTTCTCGCAAGGTCGAAGAGAGATAGTTGGGCAAATCGACTTGGAAGCCCTCAACTTGCACAATGGATTTCGCATGGCAGTCCGTGACAAACGGGCATGCTGCACCAACACAGAATTTGGTAGACACAGCCTGAATGATGCTACGTCAAACCATTAGCATGCACTATGTCATCAGACTTGCCCTGCATGTTGTTGTTTTTCAGACTCTTGCATCGGCTGACACGCCTTCGGGTAGGGATCGGATCTGCTGGTGGATCTGCGCCAGCTCTGCTGCACGCTCTACCTCACACAGCTCACACATGGTGTTGAGGGCTTCCCGTGTCTTGGGCAGAGGGAATTCAAGGGCGAGCCTTTCAGACTTGCAGCTCAATCTAGGATTGTCAGATTTTGTCGGTAATTTGTACTTCTAGGTTTTGGCCGTTGTTGGCTTTTGGTACCAGATCTTTCTGCAAGCCCGGAAGCCGAAATCGAAACAGGAATTGGCCATTCAATGGATCAGGTGAGCACAAAGCTGGTTTCAAACGCCGCGCAGGTTCGTGAATGCAGGTTCGTGCGCCAGTTTGCCAAGCGCAGCGCTGCTCTTGGCAAACTGGCACGCGAATCTGCAGGGCGTCAGAACTTCTGGCAGGTTCACCTGCTCCTGGCCAAGTATCTGCCTGCTCCAGACTCGGCTCTGGCAAGGACTGGGTCTCGATAGCTTTGCTTCAAAGCGTGGCTCTCTTGCCTCAGACTGCGCGGACGGTCTTCGGGCCTTTCCAAAGCCTGGCACAGGGCCTCGCAAAAGCCTTGTTGCGCCTGTTAGTCTGTTTCTTTCTCTTTTTCAATGCTTTCTTGTCTCGTGTTGCGGATCCACGCCGCGTCTCCTCCACCGGATGGTAGCTTGCAGTCAATCACAAGTTGGCTAGCTGACTGCCTAGCAATCTTTTGCCCGTCTGAACCACGGGAACAAGTCAGCTTGAGACAGGCTGAAGGGGAACAAGAATGAAAGGGAAGCAACGCCATGATTCAGCACAATGCACAATGAAGGTGTTGCCTCGGCATCCGTGGCATCGGGCCTTCCGTAGCGGATATTGAAACCTGTCAGCCCAGCCCAGCTCACAAGGGACACGCAAAGCTGCACAAAGGATCCGCGATCAGGCGATGACTGATCGTATCGTTGAACAGCGTGCAATCCTGACAACGACGGTCTAAGGGCCGATTGGTCGTTGCATGCTGGCAGGAAAAGTTGCATTGTCATCTCAATCTGGCCTGTGGCACGATGCCAAGGTGGCGCCGGAAGGTGAGCACATCCAGAAGTTTCAAGTCTTGGCCGTCGATCAACACCTTGCGGGTCAGATGAAGGTTGAGGTTTGAAAGCTGCATGCATTGAAAAGACTGCATCAGTTCCTCCATCGGCATATCGCTGGGCTGCTCACTTAGGCCAACGGTGGCCAACTCAAAGGCTTGACTTGACAGTTTGCGGGCGGTTGGACACACCTCTTACAAGCCTCTTAACCTTGACTTCCCGCAAATTCTTCCGAGAAATCATCAACTTCATGCAAACAAGCTTGCTGCATCATCTTATGTGGTTCCAAGCACCCGGTTGTGTTCTCATGTTCGATTCCGACTCGCAGTCCGCATGCAGATCATATTTTGTCCATCTGGACGTGTAGCTTCATTTTTCACACACAGGCCAAACTAGCTCTGATTGGCAAGCACGCTCACGTGCCGTCATGGACCATCCAAGGCTTGGCTTTGACAATCTAAACTTGTCCATTCCAGTCTTCTCTTGAGGCTTTCCAGTCTAACGTGGCTTCTCTAGTTCTTTGAGTCTTTGACCCTCTCTTCAAGCGTTCCAGTTATTGGTGGTAGCATGTCAGACACATCAAGACCCTGCATGTGGCCTGCCCTTGCTGGGGATCGACTAATCTGTAGAGCAAGCGCAGCAAGGTGCTCTTGCCAGATCCTGAGCACGAATATGTACGTGCTGCTGCTCAGCCCAGGAACGCTGAGCACGCAGCCTGAAGGCCCAACAATGGCCATCTTGGTGCCTGATGGGACGGCCTGGCAGGATCTGACACTAGGCGGCTAAGCATATGCGCCAGCTTTTGTAAGTGAAATTCAACTCGAAAGACATCAGACCGCGTTGGACTTCGGAAATCTAACTGCACCATCACAAAGGACACAGGCAGCAGCATGCAAAGCTTGCAGGCGGCACCAAGCAGGATCCAGCAAGAACCGTGCTCGACGCATAGGAGTAGTGAACATCTCGGAACTCAAGGGTGCCTGCCAGCGTGATCGCAATGACTTGATTTCGGCTTTTGGAAACAGCAGCCGTGGCGATCCGCCCACCTCCTTTAAACTCGAAAGGCACCCCACCCCCGGGAGGTGTGAGGACAGCTGGCTCCTGGTGTACATCTGCTCCCTTCTCCCTTTGGCATAGGTTTTCACTTTGGCCTCGCCTGGTTTAGGAAAGCTACGAGCTTGCCCAGGTCCACGAAGCCTTGCGTCGTGACCTTGACAGCTCGATGCACTTCTCTTGAACAGGCCACTTCACATCAAAGTCGGTTCATTACAACAGGAACAAACTGCTTGACACTGGAGAACAGACTCTCGCTACGCAGTGGACAGCTCCTGCAAGGGCACCTGCGCGTTCATTTTTCCCGGCTGTCTCAGTCCCTGTGCTCTGCAAGCTGCGGTCAGGTCAGTCTCAAAGGAAGTAGTCTGGAGTGCGCTTCACTCCCTCGGCAGGAATCTCCTGCAACAAGATCAGGACTGCAAGGATCAGGTTGCATTTGCAAACTTCAAGCTGTTGGGCCTTCTGCACTGGAGGAGGGTCGAACTGCAAAAAGGTGTACCTTGCTTGCGAGCTTCAGAAGAGCCCGCGCTGGCGAGGAAACACAACGTCAGTCTTGCAAAGCGAAACATGTGTTTTGCGAGGAGTACCCTCATCCCTTGGATAGAATTTCTGCCTTGACGTTCAGGTTTGTGGGGCAGGGTGCCTATAAACCACCATAAGGTGCCCAGATCCCATTTCATTGTTCATTGTCTTTTCCATTTGATTCGACATGAGTGGGCCAGACATCCCTGTAAAATCTCTATATTCAGTGGCTTAGGGGTCCCATGTTAAACGTAGCTTTTCAGAGGAGCCCTAAGCTGCATCACGCGACAAAGACATCCTGCTTACTTCCGGGCCACTTCAGATGCTCATCAATCTCCATGACGGCTGCTTGATTTCCGCACCTTGGGTTGGTTCACAACAAGATCTTGCTTGGCCAGACCCAAGAATTCTGCTGTGCAGACTGATATGCATCCTTGCGACCTGTAGCAGTAGTTGGGTGCTGAGAAGATTGTCACCACGTGCCTAGCACGCAAGCTACAAGTCAAATCAGTTGCGAGACATCCCATACGAACGTGTTCTCCTGTCGTACATGTGTTACTCATGTGTTCGCTTCAGCGTTTCTCCAAGACTGCCTGTCGTGGCACCAGTTGTAGCCCTCCATAACCAACTGGTGTGCCCGCGCAATCAGCTTTAGGCCATTTGCGTGGTTGAACCTCTGTTTCGAATCAGGGCACGGTGTTCTTCACAGAAGCATGTGCAAAACTTTGCTGCACTTGCCCTAAGCAAGCGGCTGCTCCGAGATGTCCTGCCCAAAAGTGTAGCCAGCACCTCATGGAAGGCCATTTTCACAACACAGGCCTGGCTTCACTGGCATCTGAACATGCACAACTCGACATGCCAAATGTGAGATCGAGGCACCCCGAGGCGAGATGCCCCAGCCACATCGATCATCGGGATCCGACCATAAGAGGTCGCACCTGAGCTCTTCAGCCTACCATCTTCACTTACACAATCAGCTGGACCAAGGTGACTGATCTGGCTGAGCGGCATGGGGCCTTCATGAGGCACCTGCAGTAGTCACATTGGCTTCACAGCCGAAGTCCAATTCAAGCAAGGTACTGATGCAATGTCTGCAGCTGTAGCCGATCTTACTATCTCCACTACTCATGTCAACTGTCAACTATCGGCCTCTTGGATACGGTCCAGCTGGCGGATGTTGTCCAAGGAGTCAAGCGAAGGCGAGATGCCCCCGTGCATGCCTGCTGGGCCAAATGTGAAGAGCCAAGAAGGTGCATCTGAACGCATGGCTTTCTACTTGACATCCTGGAGACTCAGCTAATCATGCCAAGTCACAAATAATCTGATTTTCAATCACGGCTGTGACCTTCTTCAGTGCATCCGAGGCCATGCTTTGAGAAGGAGAAATCAGTCTGCCAATAAAGACTGAACATGACCTAGCTGTGGTCCGGGCCGGCAAGTAGTCAAAGGAGTCCGTGAACAGCTTCCAAACCTGCCGAGTGCCGTTGCCTCTCCCACAACTTTTCTGCTATGCAGCAGGTACACCAAGCTGCATGGAGCATTCTGATGCTGTCATGACGTCATCTATTCACATCTATGTGAGGCGATCAGTAGACTAGTTAGGGACTGAAGTGCAAAGCCTGTGGGCCGCGATACGCTCGAACACACTCGTCAAAGAAGCCATAAACCTGCGTGATTTGGCCTCCGATGGGTGCAACAGTCTGTGACTTGACAGAATCCTAGCATGTGCACTGGCAGCGTGGCTGAAACAGAAAGTATGTTGGTGACTGGCACTGCCAGGGTACGACTCTCATGGTTGCCACGGAGAATAGTGATTCGTTCCTCGCACATGCATCTCCGCTCGGTGGGGGGAGCTCATACTGGGGCTGGCTTCCAAAATTTCACTCGACACATGCCACGTACTGCTTCTACATGTCCTTAAAGCGGACTTTGTAGAGGAACATGAGCGATACCGTCTTCACGGAGTAGTAGCCACGGTCCACGTAATCACCCAGGAACAAGTAGTTGGTCCTAGTGCGGTTTGGACAGAATAGCGCATGCTTGAAGGCCCCTTGCTGTCCTGCAGATTCCACCAGCATGATAGGTCTCTGTAAACACTATGCAATTTCTTGAAAGCCCAGTAGCTCTGGAAGCGGACCGCCAATTCGGAAGAGCTCCTGGTCATGTGCAGGACGCTTGCAAGTCACCTGTATCTGCAAGAGATGAGGCTTCGCAGATCTCAGGAAGAGGTGACACTCCTTCAAGTCTAGGAATTGGCCGTGAATGTCTCCGCAGACGGTCACCTCGGAACTTCTGCCGTCTCATGCTATTGTCGCATGCGACAGTGGTGGGCACCACCAAGCTGCTGTACAGGGCATGAAACATCTGCCGAGCCACAGGACAGCGCACTGGCTGGCAGTTCGACTCCTCCTGAAGAATCTCTCTGACTTTCTCCTTGGAAAACGGGAAACGGCAGCACATCTGCTGGTAGCAGCTACATGTCCAGAATTTCCCACCAAGGTGCACATAAGGATCTGCACTGTGCTTCCGACAGCTCACCCTTCTCCCTACAGGAGGCATTGCTGACAGCACCAAAGCTTTTTGCACGACAAGACGATGACTGGCCTCACATGCTCGATCTGCCCTTCCAAATCTGTGTTCACGGCATACTCGTCAGCTGCCGGCATCCCCCTGGCCAGGCAGCCGGAAAGTTCCGACAATCAGAAACATCCTGTCACACTTCCAAGCGTATGGCAAGCCTGCCAACCTGTCCAACACAAGGCACTGCCTGCACGACGGTCTGCCACCCGGCCGCTAAGCGAGTGATGGCATGTGAGGATAGTCGTTAAGACTTGAGCCAATTCAGCGTTAAAGTCTCCAACTACAGGTCAGTGCGGCATGCTGACCGCCACTAAGCCTTTGTTGCATACCTCTAAGCCTGCAACATGCGCAGGCGCACAGCTGAGGAGCCCCACCCTGTAAACACCTCCCAGTATGCCCAAGGGCTGCATCAGCTGGGCCTAGCACGGTCAGTCAAGATTCTGCAGCATTGCATGCTACACTTCCATAAAGGATTGGCGACAGCAGCTTTGACCACGTTGGCTGCACCTTTTGCAGAATGCTTAATATTGTTCCCGCTGGGATCAACATCTAGAATCTAGAGATCCGAAAAGGGCCTCCCTGCAGAACGGCTTGACATGTGTGCCTACAAAGCATGCTTGCGATCCTCCACTTGCATCTGATACGTATGCATACAGCGTTGAATCACTATGTACCAGGCCTTCGAACATTCTGCTGCCGGTCTAAATGTCGCAAGAACCAGAATGTGACACGTTCTGTGTTGAGCAGCATTTCCCCTGGTGAACGCACTAAAGACCTTGCAGCTTGCACAACAAACTTGAAGAATACACCTTGCGCTCTATCCTTGACTAGAGATCGGCTACACTTCTACAATTTCTTGACGGTCCTCGGGAACCCCTCTAGACCCACACCAAATTACCAAAGGACGCGAGGTCTTCTCAAGCATTTCACGTGGGAAGAAGAGATGCGAGAGCATTGTTGTTTGTTGATTGCATTCAGTCATCATTAGGGAATATGCAAGGATTATATTGAGACATGTAGGGGAATGGAATAGAATGGAAACTACTTTGTCCTGTTTCCTGGGTTCATGCAATAATGGTTGACGTCCGGTCCCCTTGACCATCCGCATATCCAAACAAAACATGTCCAACACGTTCTGTTTGTTTCCAGGCTGCCTGTTCAATGCAAATGCCAGGAACAAGAAGGCTTCTTCCTGACTCGAAGCGAGCAATCGCGTCCTGCTCCTATCAAACATCTTCGAGTTAGCAACGAGGTTTGTAGTATGTCTCCTTTGTCTGGGAGCGTTGCTGGGGTCGCAACGTGTCTAAGAGATAAAACGTGCAGTGTTATTGACTTCTTCGAGATACAACGAGATGGATACCTTGAGGAAACCTACAAAGATCACTAGAGACCGCCGTACACACACACACACACAAACTAACACACTCGTCCAGCAACAGTGGCTTGGGGAGTACTGTGCTATTTGGGGCTTGGAATCCATCAACCATCGGTCGCCGAGGAACTTTGCTGAACATTTGGTCTTGGCTAGTGGTTGCATGCCCACTTGAACAACTCGCAAAAAACCTGAGATGCTGACCAAGATGCCATGTATGGCGACAACGTCCCCTACCTGTCTGCCAATGTTTGGTCCGCAAGGTCAGACCTTGCACCCCGACCCCTCGAATATGCCCCTATAGAGTCCTCTAAATTACCCCCTTAAAGGAACCCTAGACCCTAAATCCTAATGGGAACCCTATATAATCCCCTATGTAACCGTGAGCGGCTGAGTCCATACAAGTCAGCAGGTGACAAACAGAAACTCGACAGCTCCACGGGAAGTTCTCCACTCAGCCTGGGTTGCTGTTAAGGAACTTAATTTTGGTTACCGTAATGGGTATCTAGGGTATGGAGGGCTTGGGGTTAAGAGTGTTCATTTTTGTGTTGTCTGGTCTTTTTTGTTGTTTGGGCTTTTCGAGTGTATTTTTTTGCTGTTTGGGCGGGGGCGTGTTTTTTGTTGTT